CCCTCCTGACAATATGTCCAAAGTACGAGAGATGAAGTTTGGTCATCTTGGCCTCTAAGGAGCACTCTGGCTGCACTCCTTCCAAAACAGATCTATTGGTTCTTTTGGCAGTCTATGCTCCTCCAACAACATAACTCAAAAGCATCAATTCTTCTACAGTCTTCCTTATTCACTGTCCAACTTTTGCATGCATATGAGGTTATTGAAAATACCATGGCTTGGGTCAGGTGCACCTTAGTCCTCAAGCTGACATCTTTGCTCTTCAACACTAGAATATTGCAGTGATTATAAGTTGGGTGTAGGACTCGGCAATGTCTTCTTCTGTTGTACATAAAGTTGCTATGCATTGGAACCAACTCAACAGCATTGAATAACAACAACACAATACTTGTTCTTTTGCAACTGACTAATTTCACTCAGTACGGTGTTTTCATGGTTCATTCATCGGGTGGCGTGTCTCAGGACTTCATTTCTCTTTATGGCTTAGTAATATTCCACTGAATATATGTATCAATTTTTATCTGTTCATCTGTGGCTGTACATTTTGGTTGTTTCCACCTTTTGGTTGTTGTGAAAAGTATTGCAATGACTATTGTGTACAGGTTTCTTTTTGCCTTCCTGTTTTCAATTCTTGGGGTATATGCCTAGGATTGTGATTGCCAGGTCATATGATTTTGTTGTTGTTGTTAAGTGCCGTTGAGTTGGTTCAGACCCATAGCGACCCTTATAGGGTTTCCAAGGAGCAGCTGGAGCTCTTGAACTGCCGACCTTGCAGTTCAAATGGCTTTGCATTCTGGCGCATTAACCCACAACACCACACCAGGAGTCAGGTCATATGATAGGTTATAAAAGGTGAAGTAAGGTCATCTCAGTGATGGTCTAATAGCTGAAAGGTAAATGGCCACAATGACCATGAAATCCTACCTTTACCTACCTGCCACATTGCCTGAATAAGACTGGTAGGTACTTATTGTGTGTATACCTTCAACTTTTAGACTGTCTCTTGCTTACAAACAAACAGAAACTAACAACTTTTAATCATTTGCTTGCTTGCTTTTCTTTCTTATTACAAAAGATATCCATGTTCATTGTAGAATATATGAAAACAAACAAAAAGAATAAAAAAACATTTAGCCATAACATAATCACCCAGAGTAGAGTTCTAGTGTGGTACTGTAGGGTAAGCACTGGACTGCTAGCCACAGGGTTAGTGGTTCAAACCCACCAACCACTCCTTGGAAACCCTATATAGGGTCACTATGCATTGGAACAAACTTAATGGCACTTAACGACATAAAAAAAATCATTCAGTAGTAACTATTACTAAAATGTATAGTATGTCCTTCTGATATTTCTTTTTCTTTTTTTTTTAAACATAACTCTTGTGAAATTTAATAGAATGTAATTTAATTATAATTTCCATTATAGTTATTTCTGTTTCTTACTTAGGTAATATCTTCCTGAGTCATGAAGAATTCCCTCATATTTTCTTTGAAAAGTTTTATATTGCTTTTTCACAGAAAACCAACAATCTGCTTAGAATTGATTTCTATGTGCAGCATGAGGTAGGAACAAGCTTCCCCCACAACTCCCACAAACGAAATCCTAGTGTACAAGACTACCTTTTCCCTACTGCTTGGCAACTTCACTTTTGCTGAAAAATGAATTGTCCAACCATGATTAAGTCTCTTTCTGGGTTCTCTTGTGTTCCATTGGTCTGTTTATAAGTTGGACAGGCTAGGCTAGACTAGACTTGGTTTTGGGTAACAAGCAATCCCAGCATCACATCACTTAACACATTGAAGTTATTTCTTCTTCATTAGAAGGCTACTGCTGATGCCAGCCACCTAACCTCCCAGCATCTGCACCATCAGGATCACTCTGCATCCAGAGAGGAGACTGGTGCATCACTGGGGTACTTCTCACCAGGACTGGGAATGGGTTCAGTCCTTGCTGAGAATTTGCATGTCCATCGCAACAAAGTCAGAATCTGCCATTAACAAGATCCCCAGGTGATTTTGATGAATACATCTAGATGTATCTGTAAGCTCCACCTGGGGATCCATAAGACCCACCAAGGGATCTTGTTAAATTGTGGATCCTGATCCAGTATATCTGGGGTAGAAATACAAACTTTCAGTGGGGTTTGGACCAGATTGAACTAGTTTCAAAACCCTAGCTAGTTTTCAGTGACTCAGCAGGACCAGGTCACACATAACTCACTTCTTCTCCTAGCCTATTTGCCCGAACCAGACCTGAGAAATAACCTGAGAGACTGGATTATAAAAGAAGTTCAAGGCATCAGGGTCGGAAGAAGACTTAGTAACAACCTGTGATACGCAGATGATACAACTTTGCTTGCTGGAAGCAAAGAGGACTTGAAAGACTTCTGATGAAGATCAAAGACTACAGCTTTCAGCACAGATTACACCTCAATGTAAAGAAAATGAAAAACCTCACAACTAGACCAATAAATAACATCATGACAAATGGAGACAAGATTGAAATGGTCAAAGACTTCATTTTGCTTGGACCCACAATCAGCACTCATGGAAACAACAGTCAAGAAATCAAACGGCATATTGCATTAAGCAAAATAGGCTGCAAAAGACTTCTTTAAAGTGTTCAAGTGCAAAGGTGCCATTCTGAGGACTAAAGGATGCCTGATCCAAGTCACAGTATTTTCAATCACTTCATATGCATGTTAAAGTTGAACAATGAATAAGGAAGAGCATAGAAGAATCAAAGCATTTGAATTAAGGTGTTGGCAAAGAATACTGAAAGTACCCTGGGCTGCCAGAAGAACAAACTAATTTGTCTTGGAGGATGTACAGCCAGAATGCTCCTTAGAAGTGAGGATGGCTAGCCTTTGTCCCTCATCTTTGGACCAGTTCCTGGAAAAGGATATCATGCTTTAAAAAGTGGAGGGTCAGTGAAAAAGAGGAAGATCCCAACAAGATGGATTGACACAGTGGCGGCTACAATGAGCTCAGACAAAACGACAATCGCAAGGATGACGCAGGATCAGGCAGTGTTTCATTCTTTTGTGCATAGAGTCATTAGAGTTAAAACTATTAGCACCTAACAACAAGATGCAGCTAACACAACCTTGCTTACTGAAAGCAAAGAGAACTTGAAGACCTTATTGATGAAGATCAAAGACTACACCTTCAGCATGGAATATGCCTTAACACAAAAAACCCCCTCACAACTGGACAAATAACAACAGCATGATAAATGGAGACAAGATTGAAATTGTCAAGTATTTCATTTTACTTATAGTATTTATATGAACACCCTGGAGTAAGCTAAATTTGGACATAATGTGTTTTTTCTTATCTATTTTTGGCTTTGGCATGTTAATATTTTGTTTAGGATTTTTACCATCTAAAACCAAAAATATCAAACCCATTGCTGGAGTCAATTTCCACTCACAGAGATTCTCTACAGGACTTCTGAGACTGTAAATCTTTACGGGAGCAGATAGCCTCATCTTTCTCCCTTGGAACAGCTGTCGGGTTTGAATTGCCGACCTTGCAGCTGGCAGCAGTTTTGATTAAACGTGGTCTATAATTTTCCTTTCTCCACTGGTCTAGTTGGGTTTTGGTATTAATGTATCCTCACAAAGAAAGCTGTGGAGTGTTCCTACTTTTTCTATTTTTTGGAAAAATTTAAATAAGTTTAGCATTATATATTTTCTTTAAACTTTTTCTAAGATTTACTTGAAGTTATACACACTTAAAATTTTATTTATGTGTTTATTTTTCAAGAATTATTTCAATAATTCAGATTTTTCTGTTTTTTATTTTACTCATTTCTTTGTTGGGGGGTTAAGTAGTGAATCTGACCATCATATGGTTTACTATAACGGAAATGACAAATGAAAAAGGAATGGCTTTCCATTCATCATCAAAAAGAACATTTCAAGATCTATCTTGAAGTATACTGTTGTCTGTGATAGGATAATATCCATATGCCCACAAGGAATACCAGTTAATAAGACTATTATTCAAATTTACATACCAAACACTAAACCCAGTGATTATGAAATTGAAAAATTCTGCCAACTTCTTCAGTCTGAAACTGATCAAACATGTAATCAAGATGTATTGATAATTACTGGTGATTGGAATGCAAAGGTTGGAAACAAAGAGGAAGGATCAGTAGTCGGAAAATACTACCTTGGTGATAGGAATAATACTGGAGATTGCATGATAAGATTCTGCAAGACCAATGACCTATTCATTTCAAAGACCTTTTTAAAACAACATAAAAGATGATTATATACATGAACCTCACCAGATAGAATACACAGAAATCAAATGGATTACATCTGTGGAAACAGACAGTGGAAAAGCTCTATATCATCAGTCAAAACAAGGTTAGGGGCAGACTGCAGAATAAATCATCAATTGCTTATATGTAAGTTTAGGCTGAAGTTGAAGAAAATTAAAACATGTCCATGAGAGTCAAAATGTGACCTTGAACATATCCCACCTGACTTTCAAGAACACATTTTATGTATTCGACACTAATAACTGAAGATTAGAAGAGTTGTGGGATGACATCAAGAATATCATACAATAAGAAAGCAAAAAGTCATTAAAAGACAAGAAAGAAAAGACTAAAATGGATGTCAGAAGAGACTCTGAAACTTGTTCTCCAGCATAGATAAGCTAAGGAAAATGGGGAAAATGTGGAGATAAAAGAGACGAACAGAAAATTTCAAAGGGCAGCTTGAGAAGATAAAGTCAAGTATTATAATAAAACGTGCAAAGACCCAGAGTTAGAAAACCAAAAGGGAAGAACATACTCAACATTTGTCAAGCTGGAAGAACTGGAAAAAAAAATTAAGTCTTGATTTGAACTATTGAAGGATTCTGTGGGCAAAATATTGAATGATGCAGAAAACATCAAAAGAAGATGGAAGAGAGTCCGGGTGGCACTAGCAAACTGAGTGGTTTTATGATTGCAGCTCGGAGACCAGTAGTGCTGGCAGCATGACTGACCAACTGACTGAAGAGCACATTGCAGAAAATAGTTCCACATCCTATGTAAAAAAAGCAAAACCAGAATAAAATGGAAATGTCTTCATCAGATTCTGTTTATAGAATTCAAAGAAGCCTTTTCACTATTTAACAAGGATGGTGATGGAACTATAACAACAAAGGAATTGGGAACTGTAATGAGGTCTTTTGGGCAGAATCCCACAGAAGCAGAATTACAGGACATGATTAATGAAGTAGATGCTAATGGTAATGGCACAATTGACTTGCCAGAATTTCTAACAATGATGGCAAGAAAAACGAAAGACACAACCAGTGAAGAAGAAATTAGAGAAGCATTCTGTGTGTTTGATAAGGATGGCAATGGCTATATTAGTGCAGCAGAACTTTGTCACATGATGACAAAACTTGGAGAGCAGTTAACAGATGAAGAAGCAGATATTGATGGCGATGGTCAAGTAAACCTTGAAGAGTTTGTACAAATGATGACAGCAAAGTGAAGATGTTGTACAGAATGTGTTAAATGGAACAAAATTGTTTATTTGCCTTTTCTTTGTTTGTATCTTATCTGTAAGAGGTTTCCCCTTCCTGTCAAAGGAATATGCATGTATAGTAATTAGGACTTCATTCCTCCATGTTTTCTTCCCTTATCTTACTGTCATTGTCCTGAAGCCTTAATTTAGAAAATTGATCAAATAACATGTTGCATGTGGCTTACTCTGGATAGATCTAAGCCCTTTTGCACATTTCAACTTAGATGGAGTTGATCAAATGGGGGAACATGTGGGTTATGCCTTTTTTTAAGTAGTTTTCTTTAGGAACTGTCAGCATGTTGTTGTTGAAGTGTGGAGTTGTAACTCTGTTTGGACTTTGGACAGTCAATAATATGTACTTAAAGTTGCATTATTCCAAAATGGGTGTATTATCCAGGTACCTGTACACTGTTTTTTTGTACTGCTGGTCTGGTACCAGAAACATTTGATTTTGTTATTTGCTTTTTAAACTTTGTTTAGCCACTTAAAGAAAATCTCCTTTGGCACAATTTGCCTCAAATCCATTCCAAGTTGTATATTTGTTTGACAATAAAAAAAAAAATTACAATAAAAACAAGAGAAGATGGAAGAAATACACAGAATCACTGTACCAAAAAGAAATGGTTAATGTTCAACCATTTCAAGAGGTAGCATATGATCAAGAGCCAGTGGTACTGAAGGAAGAAGTCCAAGGTGCATTGAAGGCATTAGAAAAGATCAGTTACTCCAATAATTGATGGAATACAAATTGAAATAGTTCAACAAACTGATGTAGCATTGGAGGCACTCACTCAAATATTTCAAGAAATCTGGAAGACAGCTACCTTGCCAACTGATTGGAAGAGATTATTTATGCCTATTCCAAAGAGAGATGACCCAATGGAATACATAAATCACCATATAATATCAGTAATATCACATACAAGTAAAACTTGGCTAAAAATAATTTAGAAATGACTACAACAGGGAACTGCTAGAGGTTCAAGTCAGATTCAGACAAGGGTGTGGAACTAGGTTTATCGCTGCTGATGTCAAATGGATCTTGGCTGAAAGCAGATAATACCTGAAAGATGTTTACCTATGCTTTCTTGATTATGCAAAGGCTTTTGATTGTGTGGATCATGACAAGCTATGGATAAAATTGTGAAGAATGGGTATTCCAGAACACTTAATTATGTTCATGAGAAACCTGTACATAGACCAAAAGGTAGTTGTTTGAACATAACAAGGGGACACTGAATGGTTTAAAATCAGGAAAGGGAAATGCTAGGTTTGTATTCTTTCACCATACTTACTCAGTCTGTATGCTGAGCAAATAATTTGAGAAACTGGATTATATGAAGAAGAAGGTGGCATCAGGATTGGAGGAAGACTCATTAAAAACTTGTTATATGCAGTTGATACAACCTTGCTTGCTGGAAGTGAAGAGGACTTAAAATTACTTACTGATAAAGATCAAATATCACAGCCTTTTAGTAAAGAAAACAAAAATACTTACCACTGGACCAATAAAAAACATTATGATAAATGCAGAAAAGATGTAAGTTGTCAAAAGACTTCATTTTCTTGGATCCATGATCAACATTCATAGAAACAACAGTCCAGAAATCAAATGATATATTGCATTAGAAAAATCTGCTACACAAGATCTCTTTAAAGTGTTCAAGAGCAAAGATGTCACTTTGAGGACTAAGGTGCACCTGATCCACCCAAGCCATGGCATTTCCAACACCTCATATGCACATGAAAGTTGAATAATTAATAAAATAGACTGTAGAAGAACTGATGCATTTGAATTACGGTGTTGGAGAAGAATATTTTAAGTACCATGAACTGCCAGAAGAACACACAAATCCGTGTTGAAAGAAGTACAGGCAAAATGCTCCCTGGAAGCCAAGATGGCTAGACTTCATCTCTCATACTTTGGACATATTGTTAGGAGGAACCAGTAGTTAGAGAAGGCCACCATACTTGCTAAACTGGAAGGACTGTGAAAAAGAGGAAGACTTCCAATGAAATGGATTGGCACAGTGGCAGCATCAATGGGCTCAAGCTTAACAACTATTGTGAGCATAGTACATGACTGGGCAGTGTTTCGTGCATAGGTTGCTATGAGTTGGAACTGACTCAATGGCACCTAACAACAACAGTGTTTTCCTAGGAATATATATATATATGTGTATGTATGTATGTATGTATGTGTGTATGTATGTATATATATTTACTTAACCTATTTTTGAATTGATATTTCCTAAGTCATTTGAACTGTAAAGTCACTGGTTCAAGCTCACCAGCTGCTCCTTGGAAACCTTATACAGGGTCACTATGGGTTGGAATCTCTTTATTATTTTTTCTTTTCATTGTTGGTTCACTGTTTGTTTATTCTCTTTTGTTTTATTTTGTGTGTTTGTGTATAGGAAAGGCTTTCTCTTTTCAATACAGTAGGAGACAGAAATCATACCCATATAGCCCAGCCACAACTGTACCCTCTGCAGCTCTCACCCACTGACCAAGAGTCAATACCAGCTCCTATATCACTTGATCAATGATAGACAGCAGCCAACACCAGTCAAGTCCACTCTAAACTGAGGTGCACAAATGGCAAATGAGAATGGTGCATAGGCTCCCATTCTCTAACTACACCCACAGGAAACAGTTAGTGAGAGCCTAAGAACAACTCAACATACAATCATTAATTAAATACAAACATGAAAACCCCACAATGCCTCAGAGACAACAGACCAGTTTAGTGCACACGAAGAAACAAAGAGAATGGTTCACACAAATGACCAAGATGTAGAGCCAGAAAATGTTTCTGAGGAATAAAAGGTGATGGAACTAACTAAAAATGAATTCTAAAAAACGATATTTAGGTACCTTCAAAAGATTGATAGAAAGATTGAAAAAAGGAAGGAGAACACAATAAAAACTTCTGAAGAATTCAGGAAAACACTACAAGAACAAACAGGTAAAATAAATGCACATTTTGAAACTATACAAAACTTGTAATTAATCCAGAAGATTAATATTAAGACCTCAGAAATGGACAATACATTGAAAGAGCAAAGGAGTAGCTTTGAAGCAATAGTAGCCAGAATTAGTGAGCTTGAAGATAAATCTCTTAATACTAATATGCTAAAAGAAAAATTAGAAAGAAAGAACGAAAAAAAATCTAAAGAAAGCCTAAGAGTCCTGTGGGACATCATGAAGAGGAACAACTTACTTTTTTGTTGTTGTTTTTCTTATAGTTTTATTCTGTTCTC